GCCAGTTGTTTTGAAATGGAAGTGCCTCTTCTCTACATGTTATCTTCTGTCATTCCTTCCTTGTCACCACCAGGCATTTCACACTCTGGGGTAAAGGGCATATGTAGCAATTCCACAGTGGTTTCTCTGGTCCTTGGCAATCCTCATATAGCCTCTATTGCCCCATTGTAAACCCATACTGAAAGAAATCATATTTTCCACTTAGTGAAAATTACATAGCACCGTGGATAAGTATAACTCTTCCTCATTTGACCACTGAGCCAGAAAACAACTTAATAGAAATCATAAGAAAAGGCAGAGGGTGAACCCCTTGGAACCAAGAATTTTCTCACACATGACTATGAAAATCTCAGCAAGGAAATGATAAGACTGCTCTCTGCTCATGGGTGGTTCAGAAATAATGATTGTGTCATATTTTAGAAAATCAATGGCACAAGTGTGATATTAGCACCCAAGAAAACCAGTGGATGAATACTGTGACCTTGCAATATGAGTCGTTTGTTGTAGCTGTCGAGATACCAAAGAGGGTTATGCCCTGTCATGCAAAAGGAAAGAATCTTGCTGATTCTCGAGTTCACTCTCTTGGTTAGTGTGTCTACCCTTTGTATACCAGTTATGTCCTGCCTCTGGGAATTGACACAGGGTATTAAGGTTACCTGACATTTAAGTTTTATTACTTTTATTTATATATAAATTTGTATGAGTGAATGCATTATGTTGGGAAAATTCTCTATCTCTACTTTCAAGTGGAGGACAATTGAAGAAGACAACTAATGTGAATTTATGATCTGTATATAAGCAAGCACACATACAAGTGTCTGTAAGCATGTATGTATAGACACACACACATACAAGCACATGGTCCATATGTACACACACCACTCACATACATAAGAAAAAATAAAGTAAAAGAAAATGTTTTTGTTTAATTTAAGTGGAACAATATTTTCTAGGACTTGTGCAAACTGTCACTAGAAAGTGAAAGATATCTCCTTCCAACTCCAAATATAAATAATTTTGGCAGTTTATACCTGTTCTTGACCAGCCAGTATTTCTTGCCATCTGATTCTTCTCCTATGAAGCCATAGCCAACCAGTAACATAGCATGGTTGATAGCAGAACTACTGCAGTTTGGCTCATAATATATACCTGAAATATAAAATCCAGAAAGGAGTGAGAGGCCTAGGAACCTGATATGAACAATAGTCACCGACAATTGTTTTCTGATTTCACTGAAGCGACAGAAACTTCAGTAACCATAGGATCAGCCATTAACAGGAATCCTGATATAAGTCCTCATTAGAATCCAGAGAAATCAGAAAGATCATGAACATGCATAGAAGATGACTCATTCACATTTTGTGTATTCACTGATAGAACTCTTTGCAATCAAGCACCCCTGACCATAAGTTACTTAATTCAAGACCTTCATTAAGTTACTCTAGAAATGCCATTTCACTAAAAGTCTAAAAGCCATACCACATGTAGAAAAATGAGAAATTAAGTTAAACTGTAAGTTTTATGGATTGTACGTTGCTCACATGCAAGGGGGAGGTCATATCAATTACAAATGATACACAAGATTATTGAGTGGATAGCTATAAAATATGCAAACCCACATGAATATATCATGTTTTATATTGTGAAAAATGATCTATTGAACAGAAATGCCATGGAACATCACAGATTTTTTTCAACTAATATCTAAAAAGCTTACCTCTTTTATAGAACAGGAAAGATTCATGCCATGCGTCGATTCCAACAGAAATGGGCCCTATAGTTGCCACAGCATTCATTAGGGCATCCTCATTGTCTGGGACAAGCTCAAAGCCTGTGATACTAGCAGTAGAATTTTCTGGATTGTACCTGCATGATCCTTCCTTGAAAATATAAAGCGTTAATAGACCAGGTTACTTCTCTCTGGGCCCTGTGGAGCAAGAGTCAGAACAACACAGTCTTTGCAGTTGAGCCTTCCCACATCAGGACTTTTATAAATCATGCCAGGAAACAAAATGCTATGGGGAGATTAGGAACTGAAATCATGTTGTCATTGACACCCATTTCGGTCTCACTGTTAATAAGAATTTTTCATAGTGAAGAAATGTATATTTTATATCAAGGTTTTCCATGTTCTCCATGTTTGTAGAAGTAGGATCAGCTACAAGGAAAGCATATCAATAGGCAAACCTGCAAAGACAGTACTACAATAACAGCCCTGACATGACAATAGTATAAAAAATCCACTTACCTTTTCTTCATATGGATAGGTTGCCTCAGACTCTAGACCTCCATTATCCTTCACATACTGCAATGCAAGGCGTCTAGAGCCAAACTGACAGCCCCTGTTGCCGTAAGATCTAGAGCAGTCCACTAGGTTCTGTACACTCAGAGGGATCAGTTGGCCTGTTTTCCGGAATATCTGCCCTTCTATGGCACCAGTCACAGAAAAAGCCCAACAAGAATTGCATCTGCCCTAAGCAGAGAACAAGAGAGTATCATTCACAAACAGATAGCAACTCCAAATCAGAAAGTTTAATACTGTATCCGAAAATGAACCACTGGCAGCTGATGGAAGCCTGTCTAGGGAAGGTTAGTCTTTTTGGAGACTTGACTGGTGGTGGTTTGTTCATGCCACAGTGCTCATCAACAAACATGCACATAAGAGCAGATTATAAATAATGATGAAACATGACATGAAGTCTAAAGATATGATGAGGGGACACTAGGTGGAAATGCAATTCTAAGGTAATGATGGATTGATATACCTTGTAAAAAGCACAAGAAGAATAAAAATTTCATAAAAATGAACTCACTCAATCCACATAGACATACCCCTTCCCCATTTCCCCAGCGGCTGATGAAGATGGTCATGTGACATAGTAATACCTGTATCCGCACAGGGGTAACATAGCCTTTCTTTTTCCAGTTTATAAATTTGGGCACATTAACAGACAGACGTTTCTGGACACTTTTTCCTTTTCTGACAGTAGGGACTGGGATTTCAGTCATCAATTTTCTGAACTCTTCACCAGTCTTTAAGGAAAAAAATACAAAAAACATTGAAAAGCAAAAGACACCAATGAATTGAAGAGAAAAACACATTGTGATGCTAGCATGTAATGGTCACCATGTCACCAAAGGCATTCATTTCCATGGTGAAACCATGCTTCCCCAAGCCATTCTCCCCATTGTGCAGTATGATCTTTTTCATATTTTCTTCCCATACTGCTCTCCTCTGTCCTTCTTCCTCCTGTAAATAAAAATAATGGATGACTTGTTTTTAACCACTGCAGTAGCTGACCAAGTACTTGCTGCAGTAGGTGAAGAAAAGCCAGAGAGAGAGAGAGAGAGAGAGAGAGAGGGAGAGAGAGAGAGATATCTCAGGACACCGAAGCAAACTATTTGCCACATGTCTAGGAACAGAGATCCTGACCACCCTATGCTGACCTGAGTTTATGTGATTCTTCAAAAAAAAAAAAAGGCAGTGTCTAAGACCTGTATTATACCCATGACCCCCATCAGCAAGCTCTCTGGGTTCCCTGTGAATAGTTCCAAAATTACCAACCAGACTGTATGTTTTTCCATGTTTTATTTTCCATTTCTGCCATTCAGCATCGGAAACAGGATCATGTGCTGGTGAAGGTGAGGCCATTCCCAAGCACAGGATGGCCAGGAAGACAACAGGAGTCATATCTCAAGGATGTAGAGAGGGAGGAGAAATGAAAGCGTTACTACACCAACACCTCTAAAATGCTTTCTTACACCTTCCTGAGAAACAAAAAACATCCATGGTAGATAAAATTATTTGAACCATCCTTCCAAATATTTATCCATAGATTTTGGAAATGGCTAACTATATATTTGGCCTAAAGGTTAAATGAATGATATTTAGTTTGTCCATAAAAAAGCACAGCACGTGGAAGAATTGGAGAAAGGAGAAAGTTCAATCCAGATGTAATATATGAGCAATAAATATATAAATAAATAGATAATAGGTAGACAGACAGACAGATCAATGATAGATATATAGATAGACAGATGGTATGTGGATGGATGGATGGATAGGTGGATAGATAGATAGGTGAATAGATAGATGATTGATAGATAGACAGACAGACAGACAGACAGACAGACAGATAGATAGATATGGATAATGATGGATAGGTAGATGATAGGCATGAGAGATAGATGATAGAGACAGGGAGAGAGATGCAGCACATGACAATTCTAGGAATACAAACTGAATACCTAATAGAAATTTATCAAGATAACAACGTAAAAAACTTAGAAATCTATAGATTTATGACATAGCTAACCTAGGATTTATAATAAAGCAAAGCTTCTCTTACATAGCACAAGGTTTTTTCATAAATTGGGGCTGCATGGAACCATATTCCTGCCTGACATACATCAATACATGGACTTATTTTGAACATTAACTCTTGACACTTCCTTACAAAATCGGTAAAGTTCTACAGCTCCTAATCCATCTGTCCCACCATTAGGTCTTTGGAACAACACACATTACCTCAGTGAGGAAAGAGTTACACAGAAAAGCCATTGAGAGACAGAGCTGGCAGTGAAGGAGAGATACTAGAGAAAGCCAGTGCTGAGATTTCAGATCAAGATATGCTGGGTCTCTTAAGCCATGCCCTCTATAGTTCTTGACTAGAGTCATGCTACCTGATACTACATCTGCTCATGCCAACCATGAAAAGCAGCTTTTATCCAGCAGTGATATGCAAGAAAATTATCTCTGTAGGCTCAGGATGAGATGATCATGTCCCTACTCTATATGATACCAGATATCAGTCTTTGCAGACAGAACCAGATATTCACATAATGGAAACCTGTACAAACCTGAACCCAGGAGATGTCAGGTTTCCTCTCTAGCTTTCCCACCCTTCTCTACCTTCACACCGCAAGGCTACTGAGGTTAAGAAAATATTCTCATTCCTGAGCCAAAGATTGAGTATCCATGGAGTCTCTCAAGGCTTTCTCCTATGGACACCTATTTTCTGCTCTGGTGGATGCAAGATGTTACCTGTGGTGATTGCTGCTGCCTTGGTCCACTGCACAGCCTTCCAAAGGTTACTGAATTCCCAGGATCTGGGCCAAACAACACTTTATTCAGGCTTTAAATCCCAAGTCTCTGGGAAGTCAGCCCCACCCTTCAACCTTTGCCTTCTGCTTTACTGTGCAGTGATGTGATTAGCTTTCAGGCTACAGACCTACAGGCTCTAAGTAGATCTTATCCTACTTGTCCTGAAGGGGTGGATAGTCTTTCCACAGCCAATCACTTCAGACGTGACATTTTGCTCAAAGAGTGGGTCAAGGAAAAAAATGGTTTTCTTCATAATCCAGTACCTGATTTCCTGTTTAATCTACATCTAGGATGAGATCCTATGAGAATACAAACCTGGGAATGGCTTTTTCATGCCCTTAAAGTATAACAGACATGACTTTCATAGGAATCTTTAATCCTCCAATACATGTCCTCAACTACAGTACTCCTCACTTTAATTTCTCTGCTTAGGAATTTGCCTTACCATCACCATGTTGAGTCTTCCTTACAATCACCATATTGGAAGTACTTTCCTCTGTACCAGTATTGAAAGTGGACCACTTGGAAAAAAATTAGACCCCAGGAAATACTGTCAAAATATCATCCTTTGGTAAGGTTTTGTAATTTTCTATTATGTGGTATCTTAGTTAGGGTTTCTATTGCTATAAAGAAACAACATGACCATGGTCATTCTAATAGAGGAAAACATTTAATTGCGACTTGCTTACAATTTCAGAGTGCATTTTAGTGTACTGCTCTCATGGTTACATGCAAACAGATATGGTGCTGGAGAAAGATCAGAATTCTACATCTTGATCTACAGGAAAAGAGTGCCACATTGGGAATGGCTTGAGCATCTGAGACCTCAAAGTTCAACCCACAGTGATAGACATTCTCAAAAAAGCCATACCTACTCCTACAAAGCTACACCTCCTAATAATTCCACTCTCTGTGGGTCTATGGGTGTCATTTAAATTCAAACCAGCACACATAGCGATTTCATATTCTGCTTGTCCATTGACTGTGACATTTTCAGCTTCCTTAGATCAAGAAAGTAATATGTGTTACCTATCAACTCTGTAACCTACACAAAATTTAAACTTAACCAATATGTTTCTATAGAAGAAACAGTGAAGGATTTTTAAGTAATAATGAATACACACTACAATGCCTCTAAGGCATTGATTATCTATTTATTTATTCAACACCTTTTGAACACTACCTTGCCTGATCCATTCAGCTCCCTGAGTTTTTGGAAACAATAGCTGTCTGTGCCCTTGTGTAATGTTGTTCCCATTAAAACTCCTGTACAAATCATTACTGCTATCTGATCATCCTTCCAATCTGATCAGGGCTCTCTTCCTCCACTGTGACCCATTTGAAGTCGGGCCATCTTTTCCAGCTATCCGTTTAACTCTGATTCTGTTTTGCTGGAATACTTTTCCATTTTGAGATTCCTAACCTTCTACTTGGCTACAAACTGAGATTGGACAATTTACACTTCCCCCGATTTCATCAGGCAAATGCAATGATTAGTGATATTAAATCATCACTGTGCCACTCATCATCTTAATAAATATTCTAACCATGGGCTTAAATTATCCTCCAGCATGCATGAGATTTAGATGTAGCTTATTCTAAGAATCTGTATCTAAGCCATCAGAATCTCTCATCTCTACTCAACTCATTCTGTAGTCACTTGGACCTGTCCTGAATTTTCAGCAGTATTTCCTCATTGTGATCAACCACAAATTACTGCATACTATAGACAGCTTTGATCTCTAGGATAGAAATAGACATCTTACCTGAGAAAACAGAAGATAGTGAAGCTGCTGGAACTCTGAATTTCTTGATATAACCCAAATGTCAACAGAATTTAGAGGATTTTCTCAAAAAATAATAGTTACATTAGCACATTGGTTCCACAACCCGCACTATCCACCAATAAGGAAAAAGCCCAATGTCTAGCATATAAGCACAGTATAGAAATCAGCTCTGAGCCGGGTGGTGGTGGTGCACGCCTTTAATCCCAGCACTTGGGAGGCAGAGGCAGGCAGATTTCTGAGTTCGAGAGTTCGAGGCTAGCCTGGTCTACAGAGTGAGTTCCAGGACAGCCAGGGCTACACAGAGAAACCCTGTCTAAAAAAACAAAAACAAAAACAAAAAAAAACAAAAACAAAAAAAAACAAAAAAAAAAAGAAATCAGCTCTGAAATGGTTCTCATATTTAATTTGTTCTTTTAGTATTTCATATAATGTGTTTTGATATCATTAATCACCCTCTCCCATTTTTGTTAGATCTTTCTCACTTTCCTACCCACACAAATCTGTGTCTTTATTATTCAAACACATCAATAGCAGTTTTAAAGACTTTGTACCTTTCACTGGTGTAGTCAGCTTACCAGCGGCTCAAGTGAAAGAAAAAATTGAATCGCCCACTCCAAGAGGCTCAAATTGCCAATAGCACCATGGTTAATGGTGAGGATCTGTGTCCACAAGCCCTCTCAGTGTTGACATTTGGTCTTGCTTTTATTTGCATTGTCTAGTGCATCATGTGACATTGTCTGTCAGTTGACATTTGAAGTCACTTGTTATGTCAAAAGAGTTCCCTTGTAGTCATCAATTACCCCTGGCTTGGACCCTAATTCTCGACACTTTTCCATAACGAGTGTTATATATTTAAAGGAGAAATATGACATATACATCTCCAATTATGAATGGACATTCCAAAATTTCCTGTTCTCTGCATCTTGACCAGTTGTGGGTCTCTGTGTTAATCAGCAGCAACAGCAATGAGAATTTTCTTGGGTGAAGACTAAAAGTTGCACTAATCTATGAATATAATAGGAACTTATTAGCAGTTTGTTCACTACTATGACCATGCCATAGTTATTTTTCTACTGGTATGCTAAAAACACATGGCCAAAACAACTAATTAAAAAAGCATTTCATTAAGCTATAATTTCAGAAGGTTAGTAATGATGGCAGTAGAAACAACTGAGACATATCTACACATATTAAGGAAGAAGCAAAGAGAACACTGAAATTAACACATGCCTTTTGGAACCTCAGAGTCTGCCTCCAGTGACATAGCTCTTCTAATGAACCCACATCTAAACATTACCAAACAGTTATATCAACTGTGAACCAAGTATTGAAACATATGAGCCTTTGAGGGTCATTATCATTTAAACCACGACATCCCCCTCCTTGGCCTCAGTAGGATTGTGGGAATAGCATAGCACCACATGTATTTAGTCCAAATTCAAAAGTCTCCATAGTCTTTCCATCTCAACATGGTTTAAAAACCAAAGTTCTGAGTCTGAAGCAGCAAGCATAGGGCCTGTAGTGTCTGCACCAGGTCCTCTGCATATATATTTTACTTTTCAGTTTAATTTTTTTTTTTTTTTTTTTGGTTTGGTTTTTCGAGACAGGGTTTCTCTGTGTAGCCCTGGCTGTCCTGGAACTCACTCTGTAGACCAGGCTAGCCTCGAACTCTCGAACTCAGAAATCCGCCTGCCTCTGCCTCCCAAGTGCTGGGATTAAAGGCATGCGCCACCACCGCCCAGCTTCAGTTTAAAATTTTTATGGGACTCCTGAGTGTATGAACTAATGGGTCTCAGACTT